TTTAAACTTTTTTTGAAAATCTAACTTTTTAAACTTTTTTTACTTTTGTTAACTTGTTTTTACTTTTTTAAACTTTTTTTGAAGATCTAATATTATGGGAAATATATTAGAAGAGATAATTTTTTAACTAAAGAATCATTGATTTTCAAAAGCTAGAATGTATTTTTATGTTTTTGGCTTTCGATAAACTTCAATTTAATGTAAAATAAAACAGTAAAACGTTTCGAAACTATGCCGTGAAGCTGGGGAAACTGAAAAACTCGTTTTGTCGACAAATACTTTACTCGAAATTACAGTGTAATGAGTTAGATATTGGTCAAGCCACATTTTCTGTAGGTTAATGGACCATTTGCATTATAGACTAAATTTTGATCTAGACAAAAATTTCATCACAGCTTGAAAGAGCATCACAAAATTAGTAATATTCCAAAGTTTCGTTGCGAAATGTTGTAAAATGCGGATAATATAGCCATGCGAAGTTTGCCGTTTTTCAGTCATTTTGTATTACGCACGGGAAATTGACCGCCCAATCGGGTGTTGGGGCAACAATTTCCCGTTTGTAATACAAAATGACTGAAAATTGCAAATTTCGCAAGGCTATATTATCCGCATTTTACAACATTTCGCAACGAAACTTTGGAATATTACTAATTTTGTGATGCTCTTTCAAGCTGTGATGAAATTTTGGTCTAGATCAAACTTTAGTCTATAATGCAAATGGTCCATTACCATTATAAATACACTTAAAAAGTACGTATAAGTACCTAGCAGATTAAGAACCTACAGCCTGAATCTTGCCATTTAGACACATTTTTCTCAGAACTAATTCAGCCTGAAGTTTGGAAAAGTTTCTAATAATATATAGTTTAAGTGTATTGTAAGTGTGTAGTTGTACTTCATCTTTATATAGGGCATACATTAGAGTCATCAAATGCAATTAATATGCTGATCAACTATGTAAGAACATATTCACCCTGACCTGGAAAATAGGAGGTTCTTATACATGGAATTTACTGTATAAATTATAAAGTAATGCATAGTATAGTGTCAATAGTGAATAGTGATGCATGTTTTTGGGAATTACTATATACAAACAATGTCTTGTGGCTATTAACTTCCAAACGACTTCAGGACCTTCGCTCGAAGCGCGACGTTTTTGTTATACTTTTCACAAGTAGCTTGATCACGTAATCCTCAAGAACATGCAGTACAGTATGTTTATCTTGTAGGCCCTCAGTAGTGACTGTGCTTGTGAAGTTCTTACCGAGTTTTCACCTGGTGGTCTTTTTATGAGAGATACAGCGACGGAAATAAACAGTATGTATAAATAATTGTGTTACAGTCGAAAGTGAGTGTTTCGTCGTATTACCTCCACCAAGTGGTTATGCTTCAATAAAGGACTACCGAATGGTTTTGCGTGCAGGATTGCGTGATCCATGCACGAGGGATGTCGCGAGACTTTCGGAAAGCGTAAAATTTTACGCTTTCCGAAAGTCGAGCAACATCCCAAGTGCATGGAACACGCTATCCTGCTTGGAAAACCATTTGGTAATTGTTTTATAAAATAACTTAACAGTGAAACAATGACATTTTGAGAATCCCGCGAAAATCCCGGGCAGGCATTTTAATTTATCGTGCAGGATAGCCTGATCCTGCACGGCTATTGACCAATCAAATTGCGTGTTTCCCTGTAGTTATTATATAACTGCGTTTGCATGTGTGTGTGTGTTTGTTTGTCTGTCATCACGATAACTTTAAAAATATCAAACGTATTGATACGAATATTTGTGGGACAAATGGATATCAATCAAGGACATGCAAATTGATTAAATTTTGGTTAATATGTTAATATTCGGAGCGTGTTTCATCTTATATTTTTTGAAATTTGTTTGTGTGTTCATATATGTGTGTGCGATACAGTACATGTTGCAAATAGAAAATATCTCTATTTCTGAATACACAAAGGTTGAGGAACAGTATTTTTTGAAATTGTCTGCCGGTAAAGGATTTTAGAGGAGATGGTTCAGATACCCGACTATGGTTCTATCACAGTTAATAGAAGAGATGGTTTGGAGATTCATTAGAATTACAATATAACTCGTGATCTATGTGTTTGTTTAGGTTTATTCAGAAATGAGGTCAATATTGTATTTTTGCCAAGACAACCAATAGCAATGTTTTACAAAGTTATCTATCCGTGACTTGAACAATTAGATAACTTGTCTTAAGAATTGCTTTTGCTGGATTTGGCGAAAATGCAATACGCACGTCACAACGAAAGACCTCATTTTTACATAAACGTTGACTAACATAGATAATGAGTTACATTGTTATTCTAGTGAATTTCCAAACCTTCTATTATCTTATGATATTTTATCTTGTTTTAGACCGTGGTCAGCAGTCGGTCCATACAGAACTTCGTCAACATTATAATGCAATCACAGAATTACTTCGACATTTCTGGTCGTGTTTTCCAGTTACGTCAACTTTCCTAGAAGAAAAGGTAAGTTGTTGTTACGGTTAACAACTAATTACAGCCGCAATACGAACAACATCACAGCAGCAACAACAGCAGGAATAACTACAACGACGGTGACAGCGATAGCAAAACCAACAACTACAATATTCGTAACAACAACAACAACAACAACGACAACGACAACGACAACGACAACGACAACGACAACAACGACAACAACAACAACAACAGCAACGACAACATTAACGACAACATTAACGACAACGGCATCAACGACATCAACGACAACGACATCAACGATAACGACTGCAACAACAACGGCAACGACAACAACAACGACAACGACAGCAACATGAGGAACAATGGGAACCATTAATAACGGCAATAACATAGATTTGACTGCACTACCACTGCCGACACTGCACACTGGCTCAGTACAGTACGCATCTGAATGGTTAATCGGGTAGATTAAAGAATATGATTGGTTAATGGTAGCGGTAGCGGAAGTCACATCTGAACCTCTCGAATAGCAACAAAAACCGTTGAGCCCCATCCACACGAGCAAATGTTCTCTCCCAATTTTTCTATGACAATTATTATTTGCTGCTGTACGTGAGAGAATTTAAGAAAACCCCGGATTCACAGGGATGCAACTACCTGAAAAATACAAGGAAGTTAACTTAAGTAACTGAAGTTACGGGCCCGCAGTAATTGGTTTTAACTGTTGTGGTGTGCCCGCCATTCGTCACTTGTATAATATTGTGTTTGTATTGTATGCATGTCATCCGTGTAATTTTACCTGGCGAAGTTGAATAAGGCCAATGAAAATTGATATCATGTTTCTCGTCCACAATTTTCAAAAATTTGGAGCGGGATTTTTTCATTTTTCATTATTTTTTGTATTTGAATTCTGCTTGTCAATAATTTCCTTGACCCAGTAAAAAACCCCATAAAAATCTGAAGTAAATCGGTGAATAATTCATTTTAATTCAATACCAGGCCTGACATGAAAAATAGAGGCATTCTTCTGGCGAGTAATATATTTAGAAAGATACAATTTGAGTTGCGCTTGCGGAATGCAGCAATAAGACTTTGATCTGGAGATCAATTTGGTGTTTTGTTAAGCCTATTTTTTAAAAATAATGAATAATGAAACATTTTCGTGCTGCAGATAAATCCCATGCGGGCGGGGACGAGAAACATGATATCAATTTTCATTGGCCTAAATAAATAAATAAACTAAGTAGCTGCATCCCTATCAATCCGAAGCTTTCTTATTATTGGCACTACCTACGCAGTTACAGTTATCGTGAGAGAATTTGCTTATATTATATGTGGCAACTACATTTGCCGACAAACTGGCGTGCCAGCTGACGTAGCGCCTTCACTTTGTTTTTGTGCGAGTTACCGCTGTTCAAAGCTACTTTTGGCATAAAAACCAGCAATTTTGTTTACTGTCTCTTCCATATAAGCAATTATTTTTATCAGTGAAAATGAAGCAATCTGATTGGCTGAGGAGCCTTACAGAGCGGGCCTGTTTTTTGCATCCGGCCCGCTGTGAAACGCAACTGCCCGCTGTGAAATGCAACTGCCCGCTGTGAAATGCAACTGCCCGCTCTGGTTTTCGCGCCAAAAACCGAGGAGTGAAACAATTTTTAAACGAAATATCTGCCAAAAACTTTTGAAAAACATAGCCTAACGATAGTCAGAATACGAAAATGAATTGCATCAAGCCCTAAAGACTTCATACTAAGCACGATGTTCACCAGAATTGACAATATTTTGATAGAAATGCGACTGAAAGTCGGAAAGTTATTTGACATGTATAAAAAGTAAACTTACGTCGAGAAAACTATATATTTTTTAAATGCTCATGTATTCGGCCACTTGAAGGCGAAAAAATTACAGCTTAAACAGATATTGTAAAATAAATGTTTTCCCATTTAAAAGAAGGTTTAACTGCAGCAGTGAAAACAAGTCACGAATATATTCTCTACCCATTTGTGTCATGCATTTTTCACTGATATAAATATTGTAAACAAAGTAAAATTTTGTGTTTAAAAACACTTTTTTCAAGCATATTATCGTGAAACGACAAGAAAAAATACAAAAATATAAAAATAATATACCTTTTTTATTGTCCTTTTAGTAGAAAAACGTTGATTAAATCAAAACAGAATCATTTTTATATGTTTTTGATCGGATCTGAACATGAACCTGTCGTTGTCAGGAGGAACTGATTTTGCCAAAGCCAAAACGCCAGGCATAAACGTTTTTATTCCAAAGCTTCTCTGCTACCATATTCATGAAAAAAGCATGTACATTTTTACTGAAACTATTTGTCTTTTTGTGTGTTTCTTGCCAGTTTTCTCGAGACTCAGTTTTCGTATTCGTGTTTTATATCTTTCAACTTTTCAATTTTTGTCAGCCTCGCTTTGAAAATACACAACTGCACTGATCTCAAATTAGTTCGCAAGCAACACTGGAATTTTAATGAATTTAATTTTTATATCTGATAAAAAATAAACAAGTTATTTACCGGCAGCGTCGGTCCGGATGAGGAAAACTGTGCCCTCGCTCTTGAAACCGTCCCTCGCCCTTCGGGCTCGGGCCGTTTTCAAGACCTCGGGCACAGTTTTTCTCATCCGGACCTCGCAGCCGGTAAATAACATATATGTATGTTTGTCACAGACAAAGTTGTCACAGAACATTTGCTCGAATACAATTACAAAGCAGTAGCAACAATTAAGAACAACATGAACAGCAACAACATAACAACAACAAAACCAACTGTGTTTTAATGTTGTTATTACATAACGGTATCCACTAAATTCGAATTGATATACTACCTTTCTTTGTGTTTGATTTTGTCATCCAGATTAAATATATATTTACAAAAAAAAAGTTTCCTGTGATGTTTCGGTTTCCCCACCACGGAAACCATTTTGAAAATTTGTAAATATTTTTAACCAAACTGATGAACAAAAACGAACGCAATCAATCCTTTCGCAGTATATACTATTTATGAATTGTCTTCTTTAGGTAGAACGTATGGCCAAATGTTTAGAAAAATACAGAGACATAAAACTTCATAAATTTATCTCATCTTTGGAAAATCCAACGGTATACTTTTTAAATATTTTTGAGTAGGGCAATGTTTTTAAATCCATTCTGCTCGCTTTCATGTATAAGTACTATACTGCACATGTTAGGTCGTATGTGTAGTTACTGTACCGTAGGCCTACGTGTCAGTTATTGCATCGGTTTCAGCGTTTCAAATGTCACAATGATTCTGTATAGCTCTTCTATCCCAGGATTAATACAAGCTCAATCTTCAAACTCATGGCCGGAAATCACTGGCACGATTTATTCTACTCTTTTAGTAATGCATCAACTATACTATAAAATATTGCTTCAACAGGGAACAGTGAATTATACATGGTGTATCAGAAAAAAGTACACAGTTCGAAAAAGTTTACTAAAAGTCAGATGCGTGCGACATTTGCGAAAACGTTCAGTAAGCCTATGTAATATAACGTTCTCTTGCACATCTAGCACTAAAATTATTTAAAATGCTAGCGTTTTTGGAGTAGGAAAGCTGTTACTAAAAAAATTCCCCAAAAGGCCTTGCGCACAAAAATGTTTCATCGGAAACAAAATTTAATCATATACCAGAGTAAAATATGGACTGTCTTGAACAAGGTATCAAAGTTTCAAGAAATTTGGTGCACGCGTAGGCCAACGCGAGATCTTCAAAACCTGGATTTTCTCCCATTTTGCTAGTTCAAACGCGATTTTTTTTTTGCATGATTTCAAATTAATTTTATGCATGCTCGGATGTTTGCATAAATTACAGTACGAAATTCGCAAGCCAATTCCCAAAGGGTTTCTTACAAAATTATTTACATGCAGTGTTTATTTACAAACAAAATCAATGTTCAACGTATAGGAGGGCTCGTATAGAACGTAGAACGAAATGGAGGGCACGTTGAAGATTGATTTTTTCTGCAAATGAACACTGCATGTCGATAATTTTGTAAATAAGATTTGATTAAATTGATTTAACAGCTTTATTGATTTTGCATAAAGAAAATATATATTTACAAATAAGCCCCTCAAATAATATATATACACAATAGTAATGAAATAAACAGCAGACCAATAGGTAGAGGTGCGAATGGGACAAAAGTCCCATGCAAGGCACCATAGGTAATCATACGATGGCGAGTACAATTAGGGATTAATAGTACGAGTGATGTTTGGAAATTTTGCCAAAATTGGACGAGCCGCCGTGTTTATTATTAGCATGACAAAATTGGATACTTCTCAATGTCAACATCATATTCTCTCGCCAAAGCCCAGTCCTGCCACACTTTCAACCAAAATTTGTTGCTTTTGTTCGTATTTTTATTTAGTTCTTTTGTTAAAGCAAAATTTGGTGCTTTTGTTCGTCTTTTCATCTAGCTCCTCTAGGGCAATTTCATTTCACATTTGTGTTTAAAATACCTTTCCGCCATTTTGTTTGTTTTGGGAAAATCATTAATTGTACTGCAGTACAATTAATGAAATAATTGTACTCCTCTCAACCAATCAGCATCCAGTAATTTTGTCATGCTAATAATAAACGCTGTTAATAACTCTAGGACCTTTGGGAATTGGCTTGCGAATTTCGTACCGTAATTTATCCGAACATGCATAAAATTAATTTGAAATCATGCAAAGAAATCGCGTTTGAAGTGACAAAAAGGGAGAAAATCCAGGTTTTGAAGATCTCGCGTTGGCCTACGCGTGCACCAAATTTCTTGAAACTTTGATAACTTGTGCAAGACAGTCCATATTTTGACTCTGTGTGATTACATTTTGTTTCCGATGGAAAATGTTTGTGCGCAAGGCCCTTTTTGAGAGGCGTTTGCCTTTTAGTCACAGCTTTCCTACTCTAAAAACGCTAGCATTTAAAATAATTTTAGTGCTAGATCTACCAGAGAACGTTAAAGTATATAGGCTTACTGAAAGATTTCGCAAATTTCGCACGCATCTTACTTTAGTGAACTTTTTCATACTGTGTGCTTTTTTCTGATACACCCTGTATAACGCTTTGTTTCAGTTACTGCTAAACCGTTCCCTTAGAAATACAGTGCGCGCGAGGGCTGAAACAAACTTGAAACTGTCAAGCTGGACAGCTACAGCGCATGTTCAAAAATTATTGCTGGTCCCGCGCGGCCAATGCAACGGTATGGAAAACGGCCTTTGTTATCATTTAAGGTGACTCGGTACAGTTTTTCAAGCAAAGGGTTTTAATTAGATCTTTTTTGAAAAACTACAACTTACAATTTAGATCCGTATTTTCGGACAATTATATTGTTTTAAAAAAGATACCCTTTGTTTTTCAAACAGTAAAAATTGACCAAAAATGCGAATCTATTTATTCAAATAACTTTCTCCTGTTCAACCGAAAGTAGACTTGCTACAAGTCGACTCCTCGCACTGTAAAGCATTGTACCTTGCCTTGCATTGTAGGGGTAAATTAACGAGTGAGAACGCGAGAGCGGATAACACGAATTGGAGAGCTTGAGCTCACGAGCGCAGCGAGGAGCGTGAGCGAGTCCACTTGTAACGCTTCCAGGAAATTCCATCCTTGGCGCGAAAAATTATACGACAGTACTAATTCAAACCTCAGAAATGTCCGAAGTTTCCTCACAATTGTTACTCGCAACTGTTTTTCACTACGCTTACAACGCATGAAATAAACACAGAAAAGCCATTGATCATTATGCATAGCCAATTCTTACATCTGTTCGGCCAATGCCCATCTACTAGGATTCGAGTTGGTGAAATTTGGCGCGCTGCAAGAGCGACAAGTTGACTCGAATACCACCCCCCCCCCCACCCCCACCCCCACTATCGCTAAAATCCCCATTTTAAGAAATGTGAGCTCAACCTCGCAGGTAAATGAATACGAGTCGACTTCTAGCAAGTCTAAACCCAAAGTTATTCCATTTAACGCAACAAAATGCGTGCATGTCTCTTTCTAGTGTGGTGAACACCTTACGAAGATGATTGACATCGCTATTTCAAAATATCAGAACTTACAAGAAAAGAAAACAAAGATTAAGTTAAGTTGAGCATGTCACGAAAGTGGAAATATTTGTAAAATATCGTTGGGTATTCATCGAACAATGGGGTCGATTACATAGAAATTTCAAAGTTGCGCTGAGATTTCATGCAGCCTGGCTGCTGATCTATGGAAATTATACTGTCAGGCACGTAGTTATAACAGGGTGTTGAATACATGCATTGTTGTGCAAAAAACTAAGAAATAATTGGATTGGATATTCTTAATATATTGTACAGTTACTATACCATTTGCAAGCAACCGTCAACTGCAAACGTTTTTCAACGTTTCAAACCTACATGTTGTGCCGTTATTTTTATACACGTTTGTAGGTTCCGCTCATATTGTGTAAAAAATGTGAAAAGGGAGGGTTTAGATCAAATAAGGCGTATTTTAACTATAAAAAGTATGTGGGTGCAGAGTTTTCACTTGTACAAACATTGTGTTTAACGTTCAGACTTGTACAAACATTGTGTTTCGTAATATATATATATATATATATATATATATATATATATATATATATATATATATATATATATATATATATATATATATATATATATATATATACAGTTTGAGCACTCTGGCAATGGTTTGATGTCCCACATTCGTGAGACATCAAAGGTAACTATTTATAGTGGTTACTTTCATCCTGCTCATCAGCACTACACTGATGAGGCCCAAAAGGCCGAAACGGTACCGTCTGTAGTTCTCTAGTACCGTCTGTAGTACCGTCTCTCGGTCAGTAAGTTATTAGCTAGTACTCGACAAGTTTTGCTCGGCTGTGCATTATATCTTGCACATACTGAGTTTCATGTCAGCGTTGGTTGTTCACCGAAGACGAGTTGTAGGTTCGTGTCAAGATTTAATGGCAAGAATGGCATTCATTGTAGATTCATTGCGATTCCATTGCAGCGCTCCAGCCAACTGAGCAGCTCCTGGTTAGGTCTAATATATTTATATATGTGTAATATATTTATATATATATATATATATATATATATATATATATATATATATATATATATATATATATATATATATATATATATATATATATATATATATATATATATATATATATATATATATATATATATATACCTAGCTTTTTTGTCTTTATATTAGCTCTACACTTAAGTATATCGAGCACTCAACCCATATATATTTCTAATTACATATTTGGTATATATATATATATATATATATATATATATATATATATATATATATATATATATATATATATATATATATATATATATATATATATATATATATATATATATATACACATATATAAATATATTAGACCTAACCAGGAGCTGCTCAGTTGGCTGGAGCGCTGCAATGGAATCGCAATGAATCTACAATGAATTCCATTCCTGCCATTACATCTTGACACGAACCTACAACTCGTCTTCTGTGAACAACCAACGCTGACATGAAACTCAGTATGTGCAAGATATAATGCACAGCCGGGCAAAACTTGTCGAGTACTAATAACTTACTGACCGAGAGTGAGGGCAGTACGGGAAAATATCCAACCGAGGTCTTGCTGTATTGACCGAGCGATAGCGAGGTCAATACAGCAAGACCGAGGTTGGATATTTTCCCGTACTGCCCGAACGGTTGAGCTCAGTAAGTTTTTTATTATATGGCTTTGTACGTTTGTAAAAAATGGAAGAAAAGGTCACGCGAAGGCAAAGTACAAAGTCCGAAACAGTTTGCAAAAAAAAACAATTGTAAAAAATGTTCTTTGGTTAATATTAAAACTGCTCTACAGTACTTTTTATATAGAATACTAACACAGTTTGGATAGTATTTCAAGAAAAATACGAGGTATTTCGTCATTTAATCAAAGACAACAAATATGAAAACAATAAAATTACAAAAACAAGTACGTTTTTAGTTCGCTTCATCTCATATTTATGTCTCCTTTTATTTAACAAAAACAGAAATTTTCAGGGAAAAATTATAAATCTGTGGCTGTTTTAGTTGTATTTTTTATTTAGGATGATGTAAAATTCCTCCTGGCTATGTGCAAATAAAATTTGTAGTTCTTCGCATTATCAAAACACAACTATTCCTGACTGCTTTTATAGTTATAAACATTGTAAAATTTACCTTGTAATTTTGACTTTCGCTAACAAAAACGTATGGAGAAAGTTCTTTAACCACAACAGTTGCTCCTCTTTTTATTTTTGGTTTATTTTTCTTCGTTTTGAATAGTTTTGAAAGACTTTTAGACACTTTTTGCTGTTTGAAACTCGGCTCTCGTCGCAGGGCAATAAAAATTACGTATTGCCCGTGGGCAATACGGGAAAATCCTGCCTCGTCAGCAGCCAATCAAATTGCGCGATTCATCAAAACAAATGCTTGCCATATAATAAATGCATATATTTAATTCGTCGTTGTAATTCGTTCTCTTGCTCAAGTTCTGTTCCAAGGACATTCATAGCAATAAAAAATTAGTTCAGTTCATTTGAAAGAACTCTTAAAACTATATATTAAACTCTATTACAGAATGTTTATATCTTGCTTAGTTTTCAAAATATTTCGACTGAAAAAACTGAGCTGTTCGCCATCTTGGATTATTTAGGATATGCATGTTACGTCAAGAGAGGGGTCACGCAATTTTTTTATCTTGAGAGTAAGCGATAAATATGGGTCAAAAACCTCGTTTCTGGTTGCTGTCTGAAATTTAGAAACGATTAAATACATTTCAAACAATTTTGGCTCGTTACTTGGTCATTTTAGAGTAGTTTTATATGATTAACCCAACTCCTGACGTCATCAAAACCATAGTTAATGAGGTCAAGAATTAGTCCAAGATGGCGGACAGCTCATTAATTTCGGTCTAAATATTTCGAGAACTAAGCAAGATATGACAAATCGGTAATACGGTTTAATATATAATTTTAAGAGTTCTTTTGAATGAGACAAACTATTTTTTTATGTTCTTTAACTGTTACACAGTTTAACTGTTACACAGATAAACAGAAATTATTTAAAGACTTACCCTCGCCCCTTTATCCGTCAAAAAATATCAACACTTTCTGAACAAACCAGTGTATTACGACAAGCAAATGGACAAGTATACTGCCGTTGAAACCCCTATTGAACGGACACCTCTCAAATGTGTCCACTTATATTGCTACCCGATATCTTCTCAATAGGGGTTATAGTAATAGTGTTTCATTAACATTAGGACTAGAAGTTTGCCACCGTTTAGGGATTCGACGACTGTAATTCAAATATCAAGTATAATACGATGCACTGTTGGTGCACGCTAAAACCTGCCGTACACGAGAGATAATTGCTGAGCTAACCCCCTCGCGTGGCGCTATAGCTCAGCTATGCATTTTCACCGCACACGTTGAGAAAACTTCTCAACAACAACATAATTGACAAAATCGTTTGCATTTTCCTTGATAGTTTTTGTGACGATTTGACCTCTCGAGGCCTTGAGGAAAATATCTATCGTGTTTGATATTTTTCACCTCCCTTCATGTGCGGTGCTGCTTGAATCAATTAGCCAATGAGAAACCATAGTTCCTTCATGTGACTTGGAACAAAATGGAGGAAAATGCAAATGATTTTCATTGTCAATTATGTTGTTGTTGAGTAGTTTTCCCAACGTGTGCGGTGAAAATACATAGCTGAGCTAGCTGCCACTCGAGGCGGTTAGCTCAGCAAGTTTCTCTCGTGTCCGGCAGGCTTCATGCATCCGATGTGGTTCTCGCGTCGGTGCGGAAATGAGCAATATGAACAAGCGCAGTAGTGTAAATACCGCAATAAGCCGAAGTTAGAATTACAAAAGGAGATGTGGGCGGATAATTAACATTCTCTTCAGATAAAGCTTGCCGCACACGAGAGAAACTTCAGCTATGCATTTTCACCGCACACGTTGGGAAAAGTGCTTAACAACAACATAATTGACAAAATCGTTTGCATTTTCCTTCATTTTGTTCAAAGTCGCATGAAGAAACTATGATTTCTCATTGGCTAATTAATTCGAGCAGCTCAGCACTAAGCTCGCAACATCCGCAGACGTTGAGATTTTTTCCTCGCGAGGTGAAAAATATCAAACACGATAGATATTTTCCTCAAGGCCTTGAGAGGTCAAATCCTCACGAAAACTATTCGCACCCGAGAGAAACGTGCTGAGCTAGCTGACACGCGAGGCGGTTAGCTCAGCAAGTTGCTCTCGTGTGCGGCAGGCATTATATACAGTGTGTACCGTGTATATAAAAAAAACTGAACCCTTTCAAATTCAAATTTGCTATAACGTGTTGTAGTAATTTGACAGCTCTAATTGCTTTGAATTAATGGTTGGGAAAGAACACACGGTCTGGTACTCATGGGACAAAACTCAAAGAAAGAAAAATGTGAAAATTTGAAAGAAATACAGCTTTGTATTTCTTTTAAATTTTCTAATTTTTATTTCTTTGAGTTTTGTCCCTTGTGAGTACAAGACCTTGTGTTCTTACCTAACCATTAATTCAAAGCAATTAGAGCTGTCAAATTACTACAACACGTTAAAGCTAATTTGAATTTGAAAGGGTTCAGTTTTTTTTATACACACTGCATAAAAAAAGTATAGCCTTTCAAACTTAAATCAAGCATAACGCCGTATTCTATTGAATTCATCTGCATGACAAGCTGTATAATTGCTTCGAACAAGTTAACGAGCCGTAAAACAAAGGACTTTCTACTTATGGGACATGTACGAACAACTCAATGAAATACCCGTACAGTACAAGCAGCATTAAAATGAAGTTATAATTGATCTCTTTTGTAAATAAGACATGTTTTCGTCGCGTATCATTAACTCAAAACAGTCGAGAACAATCAAATCACTTATAATTATCGTTAATTTGAATTTGAAAGGCTATATTTTTTTATACACACGTACTGTACATGTGCAAAATGAATTCAATTTAAGACTTTATGAACGTTGTTACTAAAAATCCTCAAAGCTAAGATGCTAATAATGCTGCCTAACAAAATTTTATCTTAAATAAGGCATACGTCCTTCTGTACCCTACACTGAGTGTAGAGATATTCTGTGGTAAGACAAGTTTTATAGCTAAATTACAGCTAAACATGTACAGGAAATTCCCTGATTTCTCTGAAGACCAAGAAAGTACTTCGACTTTGCAAGCTTATCTTGTTACATGCAGTTATATAATTACGAAATACTGCAATTGAACGATATATAACAAAGGGAAATGGCAATATAATTTTTATTCTCTCATTTGAAAGAACTTTTGAAACTATTTATTAACTTCTTTTGCCGATTTTTCATATCTTGCTTAGGTCTTGAAATATTTTCACCTGAAGTAATGAGATGTCCACCATCTTGGATAATTTTTTTATCTCATTAACGGCAGTTTTGTTGACGTCACAACAGGAATTAACCATGTAAAAGTATTCGTTGCTGACCAAATATTGATTGGTAGATGTTTCAAAGGTTTTCAATGATCTTAATATTTCGAAGGACAGACAGAGCAAAGTTTTGAGTGCAAAATGATCAGTGGTTATCTAGATAAAAATATTGCGTGACCCCTGTTCTGACGTAACATGCATATCTACAAGAATTGAAAATGCCGGTCATTTCAAAAAAATGGTAAGCGAAGTTAATATATAGTTTCAAAAGTTCTTTCAAATGAGAAAATAAAAAAAATATATTGCCATTTCCCTTCAAGCGCTAATACATTACTAGCCCATTTGGCGCAGAATAAAGATAAACACAGAAGGGACACTTACGTCGGAAGCTGTGAAATATCGCATTACGCATGCTGGCCACCACTTTCCTGGCCAGTCAATGACATTTTCTGGGCAATAACACGCTGTAGCGGCGGGCTGCTCTGCCTTCTGACCAGAAAACTGCATATTTTTTCATAAAAAACCCAGAACGCGTTGCGCCACTGAGTGGCCCTTCTGTTACTGATCATTATTCTGTGCATCTGGAACACATATTAGTTATGGCTTTGCTGTCTGATGTTTCCATGTCAAGTGTGCGTTGGGTCAAAATACTTCTGACTGCATCATGCGTATTTCTTGTATACAAGATTGTGAAATACTTCACTGGCGAGGTGAGGGAACTACCACCAAACACTACTAACCGACGAGGACTTGGTCATACTGAAGAAATGCTAGATATTCTTTCCATGGAAAAATCTGGCTGGGGGAATATATGCTTGGGAATATCTATAACATCCAAACATAGTCTGGTACGCGAACATGTTCGGGACGCTCTGGTGCTGTTAGCCAAACGACAGCCGATGCTTCGAGCAGTCATAGGAACATTGGCGGACGGGAATAAATATTTTGAGATCAAGGAAATCAATGAAGTGATTGCAATGTTCGACATCACTATTTCCCTTGTGAAGGCTTCAGACTGGAAAGAGGTCTGGTTCGAATATACAGAAAAACAACGAGCAAATGGTCTGTTATGGCGAGTTGTGATATTACAAGAGCAATTCATGCCAGACACTGAAGATTACGTTAATACATTAATGTTTAACTTCAGTCATGCATGTGTTGACGGCGTCTCTTCTGTGAAGTTTTGCAAGCAGTTTCTTAATAATATGAATGAACTTGCAAACGGCACTGGCTGGGTTGACCAGCAAATCTCCAGTCTAGATCTGATGCCACCATTCCACGAGATTGTCACACGGGGACGAATTTGGCACTCATTATTTAATTTTATGCTGGCTTCTTGCGACCTACGACCGATTTTGAAATTTTGTGTGGAAAGATTGTTAGGTCACTTCATAGAAAAGAAGAGGAATAATCCGTACTACGAGCAGTTCCCACCAAATCCACATGTCCCTAACACACCCATACCGAGTCGACTGAATGTAAAGGTCTTCACTGGGGGCGAAACGAAGGATATTATTCAAGCCTGTAAAGCAAATAATTGCACTGTAACTGGCGCTATCACAGCAGCGGCACATTTAGCCTTTTGTGAGCTTATACAAGACGATAAATCGAAAAATATGGAGTTAGAGTCCCTCTTTGCTATCAATGGTCAACGCTTCTGTGATCCAAAACCGCACGACGATTACCTGGGTTATTTTGTGTATGTCAATAAGGACTTTTACATGAAGTATGTAGCAGGGGCGGGTGTTGACTTTTGGAAGTTAGCCAAAGAGACTACTCGGCGAATAAAAGAATTTGTGAGGAAAGAAGTATGGAAAGCCATAGCTGTCTTAAGTGATCAAACGGCATTTTGTTGGGTGCTTTTCGCATTATACGCTGTGCTTTCACCATTATACGCGGTGGTTCTAGCATTATACGCGGTGCTTTGAGCATTATACGCGGTGCTTTCACCATTATACGCGGTGGTTCTAGCATTATACGCGGTGTTTTGAGCATTATACGCGGTGCTTTCAACATTATACGCGGTGGTTCTAGCATTATACGCGGTGCTTTGAGCATTATACGCGGTGCTGTCAACATTATACGCGGTGGTTCTAGCATTATATGCGGTGGTTCGAGCATTATACGCGGTGCTTAAATCGTTATACGCGGTGGTTCGAGCATTATACGCGGTGCTTTCGGCATTATATGCGGTGCTTACACCATTATATGCGGTGGTTCTAGCATTATACGCGGTGGTTCGAGCATTATACGCGGTGCTTTCGGCATTATATGCGGTGCTTACACCATTATATGCGGTGGTTCTAGCATTATACGCGGTGGCTCGAGCATTATACGCGGTGCTTTCGGCATTATATGCGGTGCTTATATCATTATACGCGGTGGTTCGAGCATTATACGCGGTGCATTCATAATTTGCATCATTATGTGGTAGTGAGCCAGTATGTTTGGACAGCGGTTAATATTTATTTAGTTATCAGTCCACAGGTGGCCCAAACTCTGAATGGTCTATATATTTTGAATATTATACGGAATATTTATACGTTATAATCTCTGCGTTGTAATATTTAACGAAATAATTAAAAAAAATATCAACAATATACCGGGTGTCCCCAAAAAACTATATCTATTATATTAAAGCTAAAACTGAACGGTTTAGAAATAGTTTTATCCCATATGCAATTAGAACTTATTCGTAGTTTTAAATTAACGTTTTAATAATTTTATATTTTCTTATATAGCTTATTTTGAATATGTATCTTAATTTAATTAACTTCATATAATGTAAAAACGTGTAATTCAATCCCTGATTGCAAAAATCACAATCGCAGTATATAACATTTAATTTTCCGCGCGTTGACAGAGCTGGACCATTGGCGTTTTGAAATTGAACTACCATTTCTGAAAAGGTTAAAAATTAGCATAAAACGGCATATCAAATTTTTATTCTTGCTAAAAGAATGAATTTATGTACAAAGGATTGACTAACTGAGTCTACTCATCAGGAAAAGCGTGTCTTTGAGCCTGAATGAACCGTTGTGTATGCTCTAGAAATCATGCCATCATAAGCGTTTTGAATCATTTGTTGATCCAAAAATCTAATCGACAATGTTTACAGTATTTCATTACGAATTTGAATCACAATTAGCCCATGCAAAGGACATCAACGTAAATTATTACTTTTTTGTTTCATTCCAATCAATCTTTAAGTGTAATTTTTATTTCAAAAGTAAATTTGCAAGGGAACAGCCTAAAATTAAAGATAAAATCACTGAAGTTAAAAAGATTCCAAAGATTCCATCTAAGTGACACCTGCTTTCAATTTAGTCTGATGCGGCAATTTTTGTCGTTTTTTCGACAATGTTTAATTAAAACTCCTCGGAACTTTAAATACGAAGTCAATATCGTACGGAAAATTAAATGTTGTATATCAAAATCTAAGTTAATCCTTTGTGAATAGAATGGTTTTCATTTTAGTGAAATAGCTTTTAATATAGGTTTTACGTTACATGAACTCAAACAGTGTATAGTTTTTTTGGGGGACACCCAGTATGTAAAAAATATAGCTAAATTGTTAATAGATGCATTGTTGCGTTTCTGAGTCTAGTCGATGCGATTGTTTTAGGTTTTCGCCGTACTTGAACGGTCGTCAATACTGACACTAAACGACACAGGGTTGTACAGCTGCATAACAAATTCTCTATCGCCTGTTTCTTCTTACCTGTATATAAACGCTATGTACTCTATAGTTATACTACATTCCTTAGTAATTCAGTACAACCATGGCTCATGCAACGATGGCCCAATTTGGTAAGACACCTTATATTTTATATTTATTTTACAATAGCCGTGCACATATTTTGGTATTTTATATTTATTCACTCTGTAATCCAAATCGATTTCTGTATTCTATCCTTCACATGACATGCGCCAGCCCCAAATCCCTGCTGACCATTCCATGAAGGACGAAACGCCGCGTACAGGGATACCGACTTTTACGGCACGTGACTATTTCTTTCTCTCGCTTTATATATTTTACATGTACTTCCATACACGCTTTTTTAAGTTCAGCGCGATCATACCTTTTGGGCAGATCAAATATTTTTTTACACCACAGGATATATTTTACCGTTACAATTTTACAATCACACATGGATCCACATGCATCTCCAATTTTATGTTTCATAAATCTACACCTGTAGCCTACTTATATTTCTTAGGTTCACATTTATACAAATACAAGTCGTTTTTCCTCAGTTTTATCTCAACATAATTTTCACAGGCATACATTGTGCCAACAACACGAGGCCATCACATGCACTATCATATTTCACACTACACTTTTGGATCTAGCATTTGGGGACTATTGTGGCATAAAATTATTACTAGGACACCAATAGGCAATATGGTTCTCATTACCTATATCTAAACTTAAAAAAAACTGCCTCCATGCCCAGAGATCGAAGTATTTCGTCGATGACAAAAAAAATATAACACTAAATAGCATTCTTTCAACATTAATCGTGTTCGAAGTAAACGTGTTTTCCCCTCAAAAAACTCTAAATATATTGCGAAAATTTGCCGTCGCAAAACATATAAATGCTAACATGTGATCGAGACACGAAGTATAAAATATTCTTTCTAAGCCGCTGTCCAAACATACTGGCTCACTACCACATAATGATGCCCACTACCACATAATGATGCAAATGAGTATAATGATGAAAGCACCGCGTATAATGCTCGAACCACCGCGTATAATGGTGAAAGCACCGGGCGTAACGCTAATTGCGTATAATGACGAAAGCACCGCGTATAATGATGAAAGCACCGCGTATAATCCTCGAACCACCGCATATAATGCTCGAACCACCGCGTATAATGCTCGAACCACCGCATATAATGCTCGAACCACCGCATATAATGGTGAAAGCACCGCGCGTAACGCTAACTGCGTATAATGACGAAAGCACCGCGTATAATGTTGGAAGCACCGCGTATAATGGTGAAAGCACCGCGTATAATGGTGAAAGCACCGCGTATAATGCTCGAACCACCGCGTATAATGGTGAAAGCACCGCGTATAATGGCGAAAGCACCGCGTATAATGGCGAAAGCACCGCGTATAATGGCGAAAGCACCGCGTATAATGGCGAAAGCACCGCGTATAATGTTGCAATCACCGCGTATAGTGCTAGAACCACCGCGTATAATGCTCGAACCACCGCGTATAATGCTTGAACCACCGCGTATAATGGCGAAAGCACCGCAAATAATGCCGAAAGAACCGAGTATAATGCTAAAAGCACCCAACAAAATGACGTTTGATCACTTAAGACAGCTGTGGCTTTCCATAAAGAAGCATGTGTCGTTGAAACGACGGTAATTAGTGGAATAATGGAGCCAAAAGAACGTGTGAAATTATTATTTAATGATAAGTTGTTTCCGAAATCAGAATGCAATTTCATATCAAGTTTCGGATCTTTTAACTTAGGCGAACAGCAACATGACACGTATAAACTACATGAATGTATTATAAACAATCTTATTCATACCATGAACTGCACTTTTTTTCATTTTAACTACACCATTAATGGCAAAATGAACTGGCAAATAGCCAGTAATGTTACGGTAGATAGTAACCACGCTGAGAAATTTGCTAATCTTTGCTTCAATAGATTTAGTGAAGTGGCACTTGATGTGGAGTAAGAGGCAAAGGAAATTGTTCTCCATTGTTAGTCAGCAATTAGAAAAATGTAAAAACGTTCTATTAAATTGTCAGGTTGGGTTTTGAGTAATTATAAAGACGTTTATTAGCTTTTTTGAAAAAATAGGTACGCATTGCGTACATGTGGTTAGCCTATTGGATTGGAAATTGTTATAGCGTATAGCTCATTTCGTTTAAAATAAGTAAATTGATTGCTTGTTTGCAATCGAGACCATCTTGATTGATTTTTCAACCATTGAACGTGTTATGGCCTCCGAAAGACAAGCGAAATTATATATTATCAAATTACTCAATCAAAATATAGACTTGCCATTCCTTTCGCTGAACATAACTTCGGCCACGCCGCAGATGTAATTTGACCTTTAGAATCGGTTTCCGTGTGGTTTCCGACGTTTACCGAGTGCTAGGATTTAAATATCGCCGGTGTTTCGACAATCCATTTGTATTTCCGGTTGAAGCTCTCGCTAAGAAATTAGATATTCTGAAATACCGAAATAAAAGATGCAAATCTGTAGATACAAGCTTGAGAATAACACTCGTATTAGTGTCTTGGAATATGTTTTGAACTAGACTATTACGAAAAAGATATGTTGAAAGGAGCCGAAGTTATGTTCGGCGAAGGGTATGCCTTGGTAATACATTGTTTACATTGTTCGGGAAAATTGTGTGAAATAGGGTATCGCTTGACCTCTAAATATCGTAAATCGTTAATGTTGACATTTTACTAAAACCATAGATAGGAATTGTTTCACTGAATCTAACGGTGGTATTTTCATCTACATAGCATGCACTGAACCAAAGATATGAACCCCCAAATTAAACTGACGATATCAACCTGGTTTAATTATGCGCAAACGAAAAAGCGTAAAAAGCTTTAACTACAGAATTTCATAAACCAACGGCTCTTTCGTATGCCTTTAACTACAATATTCCGCACATGCGCAGGCTAAGCCCTGTCACACGGCGACACTTTTGTGGTTTTCTACATAGTGGTTAGCTGCGCATGCGCCGGCTTAACACAATAATGGAAAACATTTCCGTAGTTCGGGAGAAATAAGAATACCTGCCCTCCCCTGGATTAGACTGTAACCTTTAACCAATGAAAAGTTTGAATGAGATTGGATTATAAGTATAGAAAATCGGATGGTTTTGAACGTTATTCGACTACTTATTGCCGAAAGAAAAGGAGAACGCTAAACAAAGAAGAGGTTTATATGCCATAAATTAGTTGCTTGAATAATTTGCATGAGACAACTGACCCTTTCATATCAGTTTTAAATTAGTGAGAATGTTTTTTGGGGATTCGTGAACTGATCATCTGGAGAGAAACCAATGGCGTTAAACCATTCTGTCTTGTCCACTCCCGAATATATACACTTTATCTGGTTTTTCGCTGCTTGGTTTTTCTTTAACTGTAAATTAAAAATTAGAACAGTCATAAGATATGAGTGTAATATAGCCTGCGAACAAGCTCTCAAGGTGAAATAAGAGCCTGCATCGATGACTAATTAATTTGAATATCTGCGTCTCAAATCGTGTGATCGTGACGCGAAATTCTCATTGGTCAAATGCTATAATTTATATGTTTACTGCTGAAACACTATGCATAAAAACACATTAAGGTAATTCCGCAGTTTTGCATTGCGCACTTTTACTGCGCACATCTTATAACTTAGAATTTCATTCATTATACGTACCGTTTAATTAAAGAAAAATCATTTTGTGACAATTTTGTGTTACTTCAAACACCTTTGGTTACATTCGTGCAAAGAATTACGTTTAAAAAAATCAATGTTTTCAAAAAATGCATGCAAAAGTGTAGCTAGGGTTCCCTGTGTCTGTAGTATATTTATTTACTTGTATTTCACGTTTTATTGCCACAATTCTCTAAAAAGATCGGTGACCCCCGTTTTTTAACTGATAATATATTTCTTTAATGCATTTTACATTTCATATCCGAAATTAAAAGAAAAATCATTTCTGGATCTTGAAGAAAAATCCTTTATCAATGCATGTTCTCAAA